TTGAGATGTTCTATGAGGTTTGGGAGAAGTTTGATCCTGATGCGACACAATTCATAGAGTTCAGTAAGCTATCAGATTTTGCAGCTTCGTTGGATCCTCCTCTTCTTATAGCAAAACCAAACAAAGTCCAGCTTATTGCAATGGATCTGCCCATGGTAAGCGGTGACAGAATTCACTGCCTTGACATCTTGTTTGCTTTCACAAAGCGTGTTTTGGGGGAAAGTGGGGAGATGGATGCCCTCAGAATACAGATGGAAGATCGGTTTATGGCAGCCAATCCTTCTAAAGTCTCCTATGAACCAATTACAACCACATTAAAACGAAAACAGGAAGAAGTATCTGCTGTCATTATTCAGCGTGCTTTCAGACGTCATCTTTTAAGGCAAAAAGTCAAAAAAGTTTCATGTATATTTAATCAGGATAAAGGTAAAGATGAGGATGATCTGCCCATGAAAGAAGATATGATTATGGATAAACTAAATGAGAACTCTACTCCAGAAAAAACAGATATGACCCCATCCACAACCTCCCCACCATCCTATGATAGCGTTACAAAGCCAGACAAGGATAAATATGAAAAAGACAAATCAGAAAAAGAAGATAAAGGTAAAGACAGCAGGGAAAGTAAAAAGTAACACAGAATTCTGTTTGTGATAAACTGTTTACAGCCTGAGAAAGTATGTATTTGTGTCAACAGGACTCCTGTAGGAGGTACATGCCAAACTGACAGTTTTTACATATATAAATATATATATAATTATATATATATAAAAGGTCAGTGCCTATAACAAGACAGTGACCCCTCGTCATCAAACTGCAACTCTGTAAAACAGGGTAACATCTTGACAGGAGGTTGTTGTTTTTATTACCAGCTGACACTGCTGAAGAGAGGATAAAATGGCCAATCAGACTGTAGGGACCAGTTAAAAAAAAAGGTGCGAGCCTATGAATCTCTGTGTTTAACATGAAACACGCAGTACAAAAATTGTATCCACTGTTTGCATTTCAACAGCCACATTTGCCATATTTTTACAAGAATCAGTGTTGGTGAACTTATCATTTTTTAATTCACAGGTTGTTTACTATTATATGTGACTATTTTTGTAAATGGGTTTTATGTTGGGGAAGGGGGTATGAGAACCAGGTGTTCTACTCTCGGATTCTCTATAATGTACAGACAGAAGTGATTTGCATGAAGGCATGCTGCACTTGTAGTTCATGCATGAAAAAACATGACGTCGCACAAAGCAGCAGAGTCTGACTACTTCCATGTTTCAGGGTGGCTCTATATTTTGAGGTGCTTAATAACAGTATCCATCTAGTATCTCATCCAGACAAATCTTAATGTGCCTGTAAAGTCCCATAGAGTCTACAATAATAGAACAGATGTTTTATTTTTTCATAAGTCATTTAACTGTAGTTGAATGAACTCTGCATAAAAATATTAACGAGGGACATAGAGTCCATTTTTAAGTATTCTTCTGTAGAAAACAGCTTACCTGAACTTGGGAAATAGAGTTTACCAAAAACCTGCAAAACTTACGGATTATGAAGTTGTTCTGCTTCACCCTGCAGTATCATTTAGCCATCTTCTGCTCTCAGCAAGGTTGACATTGTATGTGTTGATTAAAAAAGTACCGTCTATGTAAATAGTTATTTTATGCTGTGGTGCATGTTTGAGCAAACAAATAATGACCTGTGCACAATATTTATTGCATCAAATATGTACCACAATAAGTGTAGTTTGCAAGCTTTCAACAGCTAATATGAAATATTCTGTACCATTATAGATAGTTTGGAAGCTATCACCGATGCATGTTTATCTTGCCTTTGCTGCTGTAATTTTACTCCTTCCACTGTTAAAAGTCTAATATGGGAAGCCATATCTCAGTGGTTAAGTGAAACAAATTGTTCAATCGGTCATCATTCTTTCATGACATCAAGCAATAGTTTGCAGCTATTTAAGAGCTTATTGCTTTGCATTCTAAAATTTTAAGTGACTACTGTACGGTGTATAATCAGACTGTACAGGATATGTTGCAAACTGCTTAATCTGTTGAAAAATACATGGATAGAATTTTCTAAGAAAATATAAATATTGTAAAAAATACCATTTTATTTTATTTTTCAGCGTTTTGTACATAAAATAAGAAATGAGACTTATCTTCAGGTTGATGTCACAGTCACTTTTGTTACTTTCTATCCATAGCACTTTTTAATTCAAGAACTTCACTAAGTAAGAAACAGAGGAAAGAATGGGGTAGCTTTAGGTTTCTGCTTTTTTATTAGTACTGTATTTTTGCACACATTTTAATGTGAAATAAGTTTAAAACTGAGTCCAAAATGCACTTGCTTCCAAATAGATATAACTTGTAATTGAAATGTGGTGGGGAAGATTTACTTAAAATTCTAGCACTGCCTGCATCTGAAGTTTCAAGATAGTCTTTTTATTCATGAAATCTTTACCAGTGTTTGTTTACATAGACTATTCTTATTCTTGTTGATTCATGCTGCACTAGAACTGTTCTAAATATAATATGGGATCCACAATGTTTTTTTTTTTTTTTCCACAGGAATTAAATAGCAAACTTGTATAATTGATCACATCAGGACATTTTGTGTTTCTTACACAAGCAAAAATTCGATGTTGACTCCTCCTTTTACAAAAATATTGACTTGTGTGTCGGTGAACTGCATGCAGGAAAATGCTATTACCATAAAGAACAGTAAACCACATTACAGTTGAGCCAAAAGAATAAAGACTTCATTTTTTATTGTATTTATTTTCTTTGTATTGTATTTATTGTCTTTGTTTTCATCACTAAAGACTATTGGCTATCAAGAGGTGCTATGAAAATAAAATATGAACATATAAAATGTTAGAAATAGGGAGTAGTGATTAAAACTTATGATAATCATAGATTTGCAAGAAGTAAAAAATGCTTTCAGAATGATCTTTAATATGATTTGCACTTACACGCTTCAGGTTATTACTCCTATTTAAAACTATTATACAGTAGGATAATATTTATTTGTACATGATGCTTAAACCCCTTTTTCATGTCAGGTATTCTGAGACAACTAGAAAAACAGATGCTAAAGAAACTATCTATCAAGGCTGCAAACCAGTATGTATAATTTCAACGATATTTTACATCTGAAGTGAAGAATTATCTTTGTGTTATAAGAAAATTTGTTTGATACATAATTTAAAAAATATTTATAATTTATTATTTTGCTTTAAGACATGAGGGGTAGAAGTCAGCATAAACTTTGCTGGAAGTTTTGGTAAAGCATCAAAGTCGTAGGGATTTTTTAATCTTAGGGTGCTGAATGGAATTATAATGTGAAAAATGCTATAATTTTAAACTTCTGTGGTGAGTTTACAGACAGTACTTTTCACTGTCAGGGAGCTGGCATACACATCGTGTGATGCAGACATGCCCACGGAAGGGCTGATACCAGAATGCAGAAGGTAGATGTAGAAGAGGCATTGCAAGCGTGGTGGTAGTGGTGGAACTGAGAATAATTCTGAATTTTTTTGGGGAAAAAATAAGTATTCATTGTGTCATTCTTGTCATGCAAATTACCAAATCTATCTCCACTTTACAGAATCCCTCATGAGGTACATGGAAGTATGTTGGAAAAACACCTGGTATCAAAGTGTTTCTTTTTCCCCTAGCAGGCCTTCCCATACTTTGAGACATAAAGCAGTTTCCTGAAAAATGGAAGGACAAGAAATCTCCATTACACCTTTTTCTTTTTTTTTTTTTTTTTACTATGATGTGACTATTTTCTCAATGCATTAAAATGAGATTTTATTTACATTGTTGCAAAGTAATCTGTGATCCTGTAAAACATGATAAAATTGGTTCTGAATAAAACAGCATTTGTGAATCTGAAAGCAGCAGAGCCAAGTTTTTAGGTAGCAATCACATTTGAGTGGTATTTATAAAAAAAAAAAAATAATATCTGTTTTAAATGTAAAGTAATGCCTGGAAGGTAGAATACACAGAACAAATTAAAAGCTAAGAGAAACATGCATGAACTCTAATACAGACATGTATCTCTATAGGGTATCAGGAAGAGCAGACATACCCAGCCACATACGTGATGTGTAAGCCCCAGCGTTGGGCATGGACCCCAGCAGAAACACTTCCACATGGAGCAGCAGGACGGTGCCCTTCATCTCTTCTCCCCAGCTTGCAACCACTAATGATCTGTTGGGATTGTTTACTTCAAAAATTAGTATTGCTATACTAATGTAGCAAGCTCTTGGGCTGCAGTGTTGCAATTAGATTTTTTACCTCTGCCTATGAAAAAAAACAGTTGTCAGGATAGGGTCTAACCTATGAAGAGATGACAGAGTCTGAAATTCTGTAATTTAAAGACCAAAGTTACTGCTGGCTGGTTGGTTTTGTGGAGGGAAAGGCACTGAAGAAAATGCAGATACATATATTTGTATGAATTAGACCATTCAGAAAATAACCAGTATGCTTCTTCCAGGGATTTATACTTAACAGATTAGTACAAATTAAAAAAGAAAAAAAAATACCTCAAAGCTGACAAGCAGGTATATTTTTGCTTGGAACAGCCCCGCCCTGCCCCCCAACCCTTTTTTTTTTTTTTTTTTAACGAATCTGTAGAGCTATTAAAACCACCTGCTAACCCATCGAACACCAATTACGCCCAGGTGTACTCGCCGCAGAACCTCTCCTGCCTTCGACGCCCTGGCTTACAGCAGGACCCCGCTCGCTCCCCCCCCGGCCCCCTCCCCGGCAGCGGCTCCCTCAGGCGGGGCTCGGGGCGCGGCCCCCCGCGCAGGGGCGAGCAGCGGCCGCCCGGCTCGTCCTCCGCGGCCGAGCGCTGCGGGCCGGGCGCCGCGCGGCGCGGCACGGGCGGGGCGGGAAGGTCCGGGCGCGCGGCGGCGCCGCCCCAACGGCCGGCGGAGGGCGCGAGCGGCCGCTGCAGGGCGGGGGCGGCGGTCGGTGTCAGGCAGCCCCCGAGCTCGGGAAGTGCCGCTCGCGGGGCTCCGCGCTGGCGATGGAGGGCTGGGCGCCCGGCGTGCCCGCGGCTCGCGTTACTCTGAACTGCCGGCGTAGGACCGATTAACCCCGGCGGTGCAGGATTACCTGAAATGACAGTTTTTCAGGTGAGGACCCGTAAGCCTGTTGGGCGTCTCTAACCGCAGAGGAGGCTGTGGGACAGAAGGGTGCCCGTCGTTAGCTCAGGAGCTGGGGCTCTCCTGGTGAGGAAGAACCAACTCCGCTAGCATGTGGGTTTTTAACTTGCCCAGAGAGAGCAGTTGTCTGCAAATCAAAGATTTGATGGACCCTCGCCGGTAAAACTTCCCCTCCTGGCGTTTCTGCCGCCTGAGGGCCGAGGCGAGGTGGCCTGTGGGACCCCTTGAGGGCTCCGTGGGTTGCCGCTGCCCCCGGGCGCTGCAGGGTCCCAGCCCCTCGGCTCCCAGCTGCGCCGGGCCGAGCCGAGCCGGGCGCGGGCGCGCCGGCCACAGCCGGTGTAGCCTCAGCCGTCCGCTGGGATAGCGGGGTAAGTGGGAAATGCTGCCTGGGGCCTCCGTGTGCTCGGTGGTTCTGGATAAATCCTGTTCTGCTGCGAGGCTGTGCTAGTCCTGGGTGAGAAACTATGTTTTAAGTCTAATTAGCACAGCAAACTCCGGAGCGACAGATACCCCCGGTTCTTTCTTTGCCTGAGACACCTTCTGGTCTACGTAGGCAGGAAAGACAAACAGCCGGTCAGGGACAGAGGCTGATGCGGACTAGTAGAGCTAAAGAATAAGCAGGTTGCTTCAGGATGAAAGACATGCTCGGTTTCCCATGTTCTTTCACTCCTCGCAGTGAATTGTACCCACCCGATTTTGCAGTGTTCTTGATGAGGATGTGTTTTGCTGCGGAAAGACTCGTTAACTAAAGTTCCACCGCAAATGATGGCACGTCCACACTTGTCACCTTTGTTTCATTAGTGTGCAGATTGGAGAATGGATTTTTTACTATGTGTGGGAAGAAAAAAGTTCCGAGACGTTTGTAACTCTTAATATATTTACTCTGGGAAGTGGCAAAGTAAATAAAGACCCAAGGGCAGAGATGCTAGAGTGGCATACTTTAAGGTGACTCCAGGATGAGTTCTGTGCTGTTTAGTCTTGTCAGAGGAAAGCAAACTACAGTAGTTTCTAAAATGCCGCTGTTAAAAATTGACTATAAGGAAATACCTGCCCTTCTTGTATGCCTGTTCTTATCTGTGGCTTTTGTTTTAATGTTATCTTTCTGTTTATTGTGTGAAGCATGGTTCAGGCTAGCCCAGCAACACACCTCACTAGTTGAGGAAAAATCACTAAAAATCTTATCTATCATTTGTTTAAGATAGAGAACAAAATGAAGAGCAGGAAAAACAGAAAACTCAGAGGGGTTATTTCTTTTTATCTGTGGTTTTGACTAAGCATCCTTTATTTTAAAATGTTCTTAGATATCTTAGATGGAGCTCTTTACATCTATCTAGCTTTTATCATGCAATAAGGAGAACTTTCTTCAGTGTGTGGTGTAAAATTGGTTGAACGTAGAGAAATCTCTTTGTGATTTGAATTAGGTGGTGTCAGATTTCTGCAATATAAAGCACTTGAATCTAGGCTGGCTTCTTCACTCTGTGGGGACCCTTACTTGAGTAACAGACTGAGAAGTGTTTGTAATATGCAATGTTATCTTACTTTGAATTTATTATTTTTACATGTCCTGTGCTTTACTGTTTCGGTTTTGGATTCTGTCAGGTCATTCTAATGACAATCTGAAATAATTTCCTGCCTTTGTGATTACATAGCAACAGCTGGGGGGGAAATAAGCAATAAGCAACTGCTGGAGGTTGTAATTGTGATGTTACAACATACATCCACTATTGTAAATTGTTGTACTTTGGAAACAAATGGCCTTGTAGAGAGGCTGCAGATCACAATACAGCCTGGTTTGGTGTTTGTCACACTGATAGTACAGCAGCACAAGTAGCAGCTCGCTTTAGCCACAGACAGATGTTACAGCGCTGATGTAATGTATTGATCTATTTGTTCAAAGTGGAGAGGGGGGTGAACAGGACTGAATTGTGGTTTGGTTTCTTTTATAAATAGCTAAATGTAGATAGAGGAATCTTCTACACGTGGTTAACTAATTTAGAGAAACAGTGAGCCAGAGGACAAGAAGAGTTGGATGTCTGCCTAATGTTTGTATGAATCCGAGAAATGCAGAACATCTGTATTATGGAAATAATGATTCATCAAATAGATGCAGTGTTAAGTGGACTGATATATGCAGATAAAATTATCTGGTATATTACATACTCTCCTGTAATTTTTACTACTTGTAGTGTACTTTGTATTATATCAGTTACTTTCTTACTCCACAGCCCTTTCTCCTCACCAGTCACCATTGAGAAAAGACACTTGTACTTTTGCTAATTCTAAAAGCTTGTCAAATGATTAATGCCACGCTATTCTGAATATAAAATTTTACTTTTAAAATTATTGCACACTTAACTGATTCACTTTGTAAATTTCTTGACTTCTTAAGCCCAATTTAAATACATTTGCAACTTCTGCAAGCCATAATAAAGATGCAGCTATCACTCTCCAACCACTATCATTCTGTTTACTGTATGGCTTTGACAGATAAAAAAGAAAAAAAAAAAAGCCTGTTGCATTTTCCAGGTGAGTGCACTCTCCTTGGGAAGTGCCTTCCATTACTCTAAATATCTTCAGTTATTAGGTGATTTGTCCCAGCGCTTTACAAGACCTATGCAGTTCTGTGCCAGGGTATGCAGGCTAGGTCAAAAAGGGGAGTGGGCATTGCTAAATTGTAGGTAGCTGCCCTAATCTGCACTGTGGGAAGGAGGATGAAATGAAGAGTTAATCAAAACTATTTGGTTGCAGTGGTACTATGTTCTGTATAATGTGTGGTCTGATAAGCAGGTGTTGTTAGAACAGATAGGAAAGTGTGTATGTAAAAACAGGTAAAAAAAAAATATTTCCTAATTGACAGAACCATGAACCTAATTCTGGAACCATGGGACCAGCCTGCGGATAAGATTTGGATTTAGTTTCCAAGATTTCTTTTTAAAGTAGTTTGTCATAATCTGATACTGAAGTAGATACAATGTTAAAGAGAAAAATACTTAAAATATAGTGTCTGCTTTGATGTGCAAAAGCAATTTTTGCAGATACTGTTCTGCAAAACTCTTTTCTCCAGGGTTCTTCCCAACTTCATTGTTGTGTTACAAATTGGTATATGGCCTAGAGGTCACATAATTTTAACAGCATTTCTATGTGGTACTTTTCGTGTGGTCTCGAGACATTTTGTCATACACGTGTTTGACAGGAAAATAAATCTAGCACTTCTATAAGATTATAATGGGGTGCTGAAAAGGGTATGTTTGTAGTATGAATTCCATGTTATTACATGGATCCTTTGATCAGTGTGTTGTGGTTTTTGTTCACACTTCTGGGAAGTGTTTGTGTTCAAGTGGGAATTGCATGACTCTAGGTTTGACACTGACTTTTCACTTTGCTTTGAAGTGCCAACAGACTTCCCAAAAGGCATAATATTCTATTTTAGTAATCAAATGTTATTTTTTTTTACCTGGTGAGAACACAGATACAGAGGGCAAATTGCATATATAACTAAACTTGAAATACCACTTTAAACAACTGCGTTTTAAGTCTTACTTTATATAGTCTGTCTTATGCACTATTCTTTTTTTGTGTGCTTCTCATCAAGTACTTCAGTTTTGTGGGGGTTTTTTGTTTGTTTTGTTTTTTGAAAGATCTGTTTATTGTCCTATGTGTAGATGGACCGAGCAATGTAAATCATTAGTGCACACTTGATACCAAGTATATCTGGAAAAGATATATATGCCACTTGGTATTCTTGCAGTGTATATAGTACATCTTAAACACCAATTCACTTTGCAAATTTTCACTAAAATATTTGTGGAAGGAGAGTGTGAAAGTAAGATGTGAGGAAACATTTTCTTTTCAGGTTGAAAATACCCAAGGGTTTTTGAAACAAAAACCTTGGACTACTGGTGATTTCCCAGCAGACATGCTTCTGTTATAGCCTTGCTATGTCATGACTGGCTTTTTTTGCAGTTCCCATGGCAACAAGGATTTTTGATCTGCAAAGCAGAATACTGTGTATGGTTTGAGGGGGCATAAATTTTCTTTATTACAGAAGAAATTTTAATCCGTGAAAGTTGATCAGGCACCCTGATGTCCCCCTCTCCCTTAATAATCCGTGTTTTGCCCATAAGTTTACACATAAATCTGACAATAATACAGTTACCTTTTATAATTTTTTCTTACTGTGTAAGAGATGGTGGAAAATTAGTAAAGGCTTACTGTAGTGATAGCATGGAAATGTGTCATCTTCCAGGTGGAGTCTTGACAAACAGAAGGCCATTGTATGTTCATATAAATTTGTATGTGTATATATTTGTGAACTTTGTATATGTGTATAAGAAGTAATGAGAGTTAAAGTTGCTCTGGATTTGCGTTTGCTTCTACTAATGCTTGCTTTGGCTTGGACTTGTTTCCAAGATGCATTCATAAAACACTTTTTAAATGGACTTAAACATTTTAACTAAAGAATCCCTAAATAATGTACCTGATGTTACTGCTAACAAATCTTAGTTTGTGAAATAATCTTGTGTGGTTTTGTGCATGTGTCTATCACTCACCTTCTCAGATCAATACGTGTGTGGTATGAGATATTTGGGATGTATCCTGATATCCTGAACCAAATAGTTATAGGAGAAGCCTTGGTGGAGTAACTATGCTTAGGGCTTGGGTAACTTTTTCTAAATTAGATAGGATGTCTTTGTTGTTTCTCTTTTTGAGCACTTTTTTTTTTTAAAAAAAAAAAAAAAAAGGCCAATTCAGATTTGTCAAGTTCCATCCACACCCCAGTTAGTTTAGTTTGTTTAGGAGTTTTTGTGGGTGTTTTTTTTGGGAGGAGGGAGAAGGCGTGAGGAGTGTGGGGAGGATGGGGTTTAGTAACCAGTAAAAAAGAAAATGGGAATGATACAGTTACTGAAACAACCAGCATAGGTAATCCGGGCAATTACTCTTTATGTTGTAAAAGCCTCTGAATAGTACAA